TTGGGGTGTTGATTCGGGGTTGTTTTGGTTGATTGGGGGGGTCGGTCACGGGTAATTAATTGGTTGATGGCGGATCAATTAATTAATGACGGCTGTCTCGTTAATTAATTAATTAGTCTGGTGTTCAACGAATTAATCAGGGTTAAGGAGAGGGATCCGGTTAATTAGTTAATTGGAAAAAAAAATCGGGTGTTTAGGGAATTAATCGGGGTTAACGACAGGCATTCGGTTAATTAATTAATTAATTAATTAAAATATCAGTCAGGGGTAACCAATTAATTAATTGGTTGAGCCACTGGAACTAATCGCAGGCGTCCTGGTAATTAATTAATTGGTTGAGCCGTTGGAATTAATCACAGGAGGGCAATTAATCAATTGGGATTTATCACAGGTGCCCAGTTAATTAATTAATTAAAAAATCGGGTATTTAGAGAATTAATCGGGGTTAATGACAGACATTCAGTCAATTAATTAATTAATTAAAATATCAGTCAGGGGTAATCACAGGTGGCCCGTTAGTTAATTAATTGGTTGAGCCGCTGGAATTAATCACAGGCCTCCTGTTAATTAATTTATTGGTTGATTCCGTGGAATTAATGCTGGGATTAATCACAGGGCTCCAGATAATTAAGTAATCAGTTAATTAATTAATTAAAAACTCAATCGGGCGTTTAATGGATTAATCAGGGTTAAGGATGGGTATCCAGTTAATTAATTAATTAAAATATCAGTCAGACTTTTAATGAATTAATCAGGGTTAATGACAGGGTCCAGTTAATTAATTAATTGACTGATCAATGGGAATTAATCACAGGGGTCAATCAATCAATAGGGATTAATCAAACGGGGTCAATTAACTAATTAATTGGTGTGGGTTAATCACAGGGGGGCAATTAATTAATTGGGATTTAGCACAGGGGGTCCTTTTAATTAATTGATCAATGGGGACAATTAACTAATTAATTAATCTGGGGGCAATGAATTGATTAATTAATGGAGATTAATCACAGGAGTCCAATTAATTAATCCATTGGCAACCGATTAAATAATTAATTAATCAATCTGGGCTGATGATGGGGGCCCAAATAATTAATTAATCAGGATTAATCACAAGGGGGCCAATTAACAAATTAATTAATTGGGATTAATCGCAGGGGACCAATTAATTAATTAATTTATCAGGATTACTCACAGGCATCCAATGAATTAATTAATCAATCCATCAAGATTAATCACATGGGTCTAATTAATTAATTGTAGTTAATCACAATAATTAATCTGAGGATTAATGACAGGGGTCCAATTAATTAATAAATAAACCAATCAGGACTGATCACAGATGACCAATTAATCAATTAATTAGTGGTGATCTACCCCAGACGTCCAATGAATCCATTAATTAATTAACCAGAGTGTCCAAAGGGGATTAATTGCAGCTCTGGAGTTAATTACTGAACCGTGACTGCAGGTGTCCCGTTAATTAATTAATTAATTCCCCCAGATGTCCCCGGGGATCGACTGCAGGTGTCCAACTAATTAATTAATTAATTAACCGCGGCGCCTCCGGAGGATTAAACATCACAGTGGGGCAAATTAATTATTTACAGTTAATTAAATCAATTTAATTAGTTAATAATTATTGCCTTGATCAATTTAATCGCCCCCCTTCCCCCCTAGATTAATTACCATCAATTAAATTAATTAATCACAACCCTGGGTTAATTATTTACCCCTCATTAATTTAATCCTGGCTCCTTTAATTAATTAATGCACTTAATTAACCTCCATGGCCCCCAATGGTCAACTACTGATGACTCTGGGGTCAATTAATTAATTAATTAGAAACTCTGCAGAGGCCTTTTTATGCTGAATTAA